TATTTGAAAAGTAAGGGATTAAGGGATAAGGGAAAACCCCAGAGGGAACATGGGGAAGAACAAGGAGAAGAAAGGATAGAAGCAAAAGTAAAAGTGCTAGCGTGCAGCGCTGTGATAACGGGCACCTCCTCGTGCCTGCGTCCTGCGTGACATCTGCATCTCGTGGAGCCCGTGAGAAGCTCCACATCTGGGCTCCTGAGAACGACTTGCCATTTATTCTTGAGGCTCAAATTTTACTTCTCTTGTACTCATTTGAAAAGTATTTAGCTGTAATTTCCTTCAAATTTTGTTTTTTGTGTTTTTATTATTTTTTAATGACCCCAGAGACCTCTCCTGTTATGAAATGCCAGGAATCCCGGCTTCTAGGTTAAATTTGCCTTTAATTTTCTTTTTCACTTTAATTAAGGCCAATTAGTTACCTTCAAATGCAGTGATATGAGTGATCATAATTTTCTTCTAAATTGTAAAATATCTTATTTTTTCAGATGCTGAGTAACTTTTTTTTTAGTAAGCTCTGCATTTATGAATTTAGATCATCACTGTGGTAGTAATACTAGCCCATTATCCAAAATCCTTCAGTTGGTTGGCCCTTATAATAAAGCATGATTTTACCCAAAACCAGAATTCTTATCAACACCATGCAGTGTTTTACTGAAGGCCACTGCAGTAGATAGAGCTACATGTAAAAAGACCGGTGAGGCTCGGTAAGCTGCATATTTTAACTCGCGTTTGTGGGTGTGATCATTCTGTGCATTTGTATGTGTGTCTGTACGCGTGCTTCCCTCTCCTCGTATGGATGGCCAGTTGTTCCAGAGTGTTTCTCAGCTTGCAGTGATCTGATGGGTTCCTCGCGTCTATGTTTTTTTCATGTCTGAAAACTTACCTACACTTGTTTTTGCAATGTTGACTGCAAGCATATTTGTTGAAGATATATATGTTTCTTTATTTTTAAAATCTGTTCTAGGCAGAGGAGTACTATCAGTGGAATAAATTACCCTGTGGACTTACTTCCAAGAATAAAATTCCACTGCACACGATCAGCATTAAGCCATCCACCATGTGGTTTGGAGAAAGATCCAGGAAAACGAATGTAATTGTGAGGTAAGAGAGCAGTGCTGTGTAGGTCTCCCGAGAGACTCGGAGATAAAATGTTTGTCTGAAGCTGGACATGGTGGCACATGTCTGTAATGGCAGCAGCTCAGGAGGCTGAGGTAGGAGGATCGCAAGGTTAAGGCCAACCTGGGCAATTCAGACCATGTCTAGAAATAAAAATAAAAACCTGGAGATGCAGCTCAGCAGTAGAACGCCCTGAGTTTAATCCCTGATACTGGAAAAAAAAAGTTTGATGCAGTGTAGTGTAAACACGCTCTAGCCTAAGCTCAAGAAGAGGATATACTCTAATCGTGGGAAGTAATGTCTTTAATTTAAACTAAATTTAAACTCAAGGGATCCTACTCCAAGCCTACCGCAGCACATTAGCCAGTATCTCTGGAGGCCTCCTCTAGTGGGGAGGTAAACAGTTGCATCCTGAAGGCATCGCAGTGCTTGACTGTGAGTTAAGATTGCTATCATAGAGAAGAGAAGCCCTTGGCAGAGTGGAGGAGCTTCCATACTTAGGCTACTGTCTTAGCAGTGTCCCCGGCCTTGGGCTGTTTAACGTGTCCACAACAGATCTCCCTTACTGGAAAAAGTTCAGCCTTATCCCAAGAAGAAGTTCCTGATGATAGGGTAGTTTCACACCGGAGTAGCCCAACAGGGAAAGATCAGAGTTTGTAACTGAGCTTAGTTCTGTAGGTGACTTTGTGTTTGTGTTTTCATTTCTCTTTAGGACGGGAGAGAGTTCGTACAGAGCTTGTTTCTCTTTTCACTCCTCCTACAGCGAGGTAAGAGCACCGTCAGCTCAGCCCTGTTGCCGACTCTCGGTTGGCCCAGAGCACGTCTTACTCTTTCAGTCTCATTCCCTGTGCGTTTCATTCTGAGTCGATGCTGACTGTGTGTGGATTCCGCATTTCCGTGTTCGCTTACTTGCTACAGTTTATCTGTAGCCCCACGTCCATCTCCTGGGCTGTGGGAGGGACTTGCAGACACAAGGAGAGGTGAAGGATTCCGGTCAGCGGAACCAGCCGTCCCCAGCGGCAGGGGGCCAGGCAGTGCCCTCCGCCTCTTGTCGGCTCCCGTCCCTTTCGTGGTCTGCAGAATGCCGTGCTTTTCGTATTTTTGTGCCTTTGGTTGGTGACTGCACCATATGAAACGGCCCTGAGTGAAGCGCTGAGGTACTGTGTAACGGGCCTGAGCGCAAGAAGGCTGTGATGTCCTGCGGCGGAGATACGGTGGGGTCGGGAATACCGTAAACACGTGAATTAAGTCACTGCAGTAAAAGACAGCATGGCATTAATGCCTCTGGGAAGATTCCCCTTTGCTTCCAGCACACTTGCCCGCCGTCCTTGCCCCCTCCGAAGCGGTTTGGAGGCGCTCCCTCCTGAGTGCCTTCAGCTGCGCTGTCATGGCTGCCTGGATGTCCTGGGTTGCCAAAACACTTTTCATGCTTGTTTTGACTTCGGTGGAGTTACACAGTGCGGGGCTGGTGAGAAGGGCGGGGGAGGCTGCCCTGGGATGTCCTTAAGAGCCGCCCGTCCAGCGGATGAGCCTCGGCAGCAGCGCCCGCTGTAGGATGGCGCCTCGTAAGACCTCAGGAGAAACTTCCAGAACCGCTTCAGAAAGTGCCGAGAACGGTGGGATGCGTGTGCTCTGTGTGGGAAGCTGCATTCTGAGGGGGATTATGACCGTGTTTCTTCTACTGTAATACATTTTAAAAACTGAGACCTTCACTGTATATTTTGATCACATCACACATTATACCAGCTTCATTCAGGCACGAGCTACAGTGCTCTTTGCTGTGAGTTCAGCGTTAAAGAATAAACAGTGTGAAATGCGCTGTTTGTCAACAGAAGCACACGCAGAACAAGGTTACGTATGAATGGCTGATCAAACCGGTTGACGGCCCCAGAAGTTTCCAGGAGTCTAACCCCGTGTTGTTTCCTCCTAGCAGCAGGGGCTCGGTATTTGCTAATTCAGGGTTTGAGGCCACTTTATGGAGCGTGATTACTGAGAGCTGACTGACTGAGGTCTGAGGCTGGCAGCGGTGACAGACTGTCAGCCTGCACGAGTGGGAGAGGACAGCGCTCTGTTGGTGTCTCTTGTCTCCTTGTGCCCAGTGCCTGTCTGAAAAGTAGTGAACCTGGTACGGGCACGACCTCATTTTCTTATCATTATTCCCTTCAGAAGCCTCAGGTTTCTGTTATCCTTAATGTGGGTTTTTTTTTTTTTTTTTCCCACATTACAGTACAGTACAGGGAATTGGACCCAGGACCTTTGCACTGAACTATATCAGCACCCCCCCTTTTTTAAAAAAACAAAGTTTTATTTTGAGACAGATTCTTACTAAGTTGCTAAGTTGCCCGGGCTGAGTTCCAACTTGTGATCCTCCTGCTTCAGCCTCCCGGAGTGCTGGGATTACAGCTTGTGCCATCATGCCCGGCTTCAACTTGAATTAATTGTGTGCATCAAGCAGGTTGTAGGGAAGCAAGCAGTGGTTTCTGTTTATATGCCTCCTGTGAGTACAGGCCCAAAAGACACTGATTATGAGAAATGCTGAAAGAGCAGATGTCTTTTCCTTTTCCCTGTGGTAAAATAGTTATTCTTAAAAAATACGGCTATAGTGTTTGTTAATTACTGGGCCCTTATCTCTTGATTGGTCCTTTAGTTGGGTGCTAATTATGACTTTGTGCCCCAGGAATTTCAGTTGCAGAAGGAGTAACAGTCTTCCCGTGGGTTTTCTGAGCATTTGTCCAGGTACAGGCAGGTGCTGGGCCAGGTTCTGCAGGGGAAGAGTCTGAGACTTAGACTCTGGGCGGCTTCAGCGAGCTCAGGAGCTTGCTCAGACCCAGGAAGCAGCGAGGCTGAGGTTCGTCTGGTCGTAGAGACGGTGTCAGAACTGTCGGAAAGGCAGTCCTGGGCGCAGGCTGTCGGCCCAGAGGAAGAGCGGGCCCAGGCCTGTGCGCTCGCTTGGGCAGCCGAGCGCTCACACCCTGCTCACACCCTGCGTGGCCTGCTCTGCGTCAGCCTTGTGTCTGCAGCCATCAGCCGCTGCCGGGGCTCCAGACCCCGCAGGGTGGGGCCCAGCCCAGGTGGCAGGAGGGGCCACGGCAGACCGCCCTGAGCTGGCTGTGGGGAGGGCTCCCCTGCAGCAGAGCCTGCTGAGCAGGTCTCAGAGAAGTGCGGCCCTCCAGGCTGACTGCCTTGTGCTTTCCACCGAAGGACTCACATGCCGTGGCAGGGGGAGTTGGAGGCCCCTACCCGACCTGGGGTCAGTGACCCGTGCAGTGTTCAGTGCAAATAAGAACAAACCACGGGAACAGGTCAAGAGCAGCCTCCCAGATGCAATTCTAAGACTCTGCTTACCCATGTGTGTTAGTTACTCTGAGCTGTATTCTGACTCTTAAAAGAGAATTTGTTAAATATGGGTAACCTTCGTGAATAAGGAAACTGTTATATTTAAAAACGGAAAATGTGCTAGTGTGGTGGTATGTGCCTGTAATCCCACCACTTGGGAGGCTGAGGCAGGAGGATCTCTGAGTTCGAGGCCACACTGGGCTACATAGTGCACTTGAGGGCAGCCTGAACTACATAACAAGACCCTGACTCAAACAAGCACACACACACACACAAATGCAAAATGCCACTAATACTCAGCTACTTGGGAGACGGAGGCCGGAGGATCCCAGTTTCAGGCCAGCCTTGGCAACTTTGTGAGGTCCTGTCTCAAAATCAGATTTTAAAGGGGTAGGGATTTAACTCAGTGGCACAGCACTTGCCTTCCGTGCACGAGGCCGTGGTTCAACCCCTAGTACTCCATAAGTAGATCAATCAGCTGCCTCTCTGAGTTCTGTTAATCAGAGACTCTCTGAGCTCAGACTGTGCCGCAGCCAGCCGAGTGCAGTGCAGCTGCTGATTCTCAGGCCCACTGCCGCCCAGCGGTGTGGGGGTTTGGGGCAGTGGGCCGCGGCGCTGGCGTTTCGTTTTCCTCCGCGGTCCCCGTGGACGGCCCGCCCCGAGCAGCACAGCGGTACAGCGCTTTTGTCTTGTCCAGCGTGACGTGTTCGTCGTACTGGGAACTGACCCATGTTGCTCTCCTTCTAGATTCAAGATTTCTTGCGCTACCTCTGTCCCGTGAATGTGTACCCAAATGTCATCCCGGTGGGCACAACTCTGGACAAAGTGAGAGAAACGTGAGTCGTCACCACGCGGGGGCTCGTGCCGCGCTCTCAGTGGCTCTTGGCGTGGGAACAGGCTGGGGTAATTTTGCCTGGAAGTGTACAAATCTAGAGCCTGTTTCTGCTGTAATGTTTCTGAACTTTTATTCATTTCAGTTTTCTCCTTTCACTCATAACTGTGGCAGAATGTACGGTCTGTCGAGTAGAATCCTAGCTTTTGTTGTGTACGTGCAGCGTGATCTTGGCCGATCCCATCTCCAAGCTGGGCGTTGCCCATCAGCGTAGGAGGGATTGATGCCAACTTGTTGGGCTTTTCCGGGATCTGCAGATAATATATGTGCCGAGTAGGTGGTCAGTAAGGTATTTACTGAGTGGACTCAGGACTACTCATGCCATCTTACTGTTCTGCACCTCTTCTTTAAGTTCCGTCACGCATGCGTGATGTATTTTAGTGCCAGCTGTCTGGCAGGCCCTGTGCTTGGGGTGCAGCCAAGTTGACCGAGATACATCTTACACTTAAGAGTTCCTGTTCGGAAGGGCCTCGTGTAAAAGGACGCACACCATATACAAGCTGCGATGGATCAGGGAGAAATCTGGCCTGGTGTTAGGCAGTCTGCCCAGACACTTGGAGGTCTACCTTACTGCCAGAGCTCCTGAATCCTACTACAGAATTAGCTAGGCCGCATAAGCAGTAACAGAAACCACAAAGCCAGAGGAAGTTGCCAGGAGAGAGTGAGAAGAAAAAGCTGGGGCCAGAACTCTGGGCATCGCCTTAGGAGGAAGAGCTGGAATGAGACAGGGGCAGGGTGGCCGAGACTGCGGGACCGCGAGCGGCCGAGCGGAGGCCGTCAGTGCGTATCGCTCGTGGGGACTATCAGGTCTCCGCTACCTGGGTAGCTGGGTCCTTTGTGTACGCTCAGGGAGAGCACTTTCCGCAGACTTGGGAGTTAAAGGCCAGATTGCAGTAGAGAAGCGGCAAAAAGAGACGCCATGGAGACTACTGAGATAGACTATTGAAGAAGTTAGATTCTGCAGGGAAGACTGTGGATAGGATGGTAACCAGGGGCAACAGAATGAAGAAGCCTGATCTTAAAATAGCTGAGACTTAAATATCTTGCAGAATTAAACTTGATTATACTTAAGAGTCACTTGGGGTGCTTGTTCCAATGCGCACTTCCCATCCTTGCATCTGTGCCAGGCAGTCTGCTGTAGGCGCTGGGTGGAGAAGAACTGCACTTTAAAGTCACCCAAGGAGAACAGTTAGGATGACTGCAGAGAAGTGGCCGCAGAGTGCACGGGTCCAGGCACGTGTGGACACGTGAAGACGGGCGAAGCTGCACAGCTGGGGTGGCAGTAGGTCAGCTTCGGCCCGGCGCTTCCTGGCTGCGTCCGAGTGCTGTGTTATATGTAGTCCTCCAGGCTGCTGGCAGCTGGCAGAAGGAAGTAGCTGGTGATACAGCCCTTCAAATCTTATTTTTGGGTCTTGGCTTTCAGCCTGTGGCTCTAGAACGAAGGTATCAAATTGGTGATTTTTCAGAACCCTGGAAGATATAAGTAAACCTCACTAAACAGGGAAGGGGAAGCAGTTAGCTATACTGTATTCCCTGAATGCCAAAAAGTGGCATTGTGTTCCTTGTGTTTTAGATAGAGACCTATTTTTCTGCACTGCACGAACAAAATTTTTCTGTACTGAATACGTCGCTCTCTATCCTAACAGTTAGCTAGGCATCTATTGTGTTGTATTTAAGTGCTTATATTCACTACTTTATTACATTGGTTTTAATTATTAAACACTGCTTTCAGTTCTTGAAAGTAGTTGTATGATTTTCCCTATGGTCAGGCTTTTGTAATCCATGTGATGCTTACCTTCCAGCAACTTTTCTGTGTGTGCGCGCGTGTGTGTGCGTGTGGTACCGGGAATCAAACTCAGGACCTTGTGCTCGCCAGGCAGGCGCTTGTGTCGCTGAGCTGTATCCCTGGCCCCAGCAACTTTTCCAAAGAGAAAAACTCAAATATTCTGATTCATTTCAGCTTAAAGCCTTTGTGCCGGTCTTCTCAAAATACTGAGCCAAAGTATAAGCCACTTGGAAAACTGAAGAGAGCTAGAAGAGTCCATCTAGATTCAGGTAAGAACGGTCTTGGGCACAGAGGCTGCTTTTTGGGGCGTTCTGGTCTGGTGGAGGTGGCCTTTGGCGGAGTGGACATGGCCCTGCTGTGCGCCAGACTTGTCTGTGATTTTCCTCCTGGGTTCAGCATGTAGTCAGGAGTCTGTTCTCCCTCACAGGCCTGAAACGAGCACTGAAACTCTCAGCTTGCTGACAGGAGGCTGAATGTTTCCTCAGAATACAAGCAAATGCTGAAAATGGAGACTTCAATGTCCTTCCTCATTGGAGGGACCAATAGTGTTACATAAATGGATTTTCTCCATAATTTCCTGCCATCTTTGTTACTTTCGTTTTTCAGCGAAGAACAGAGATTAAGGTGTGAACTGGAACCAGACCTTTGGACTCTAAGCAAAGCTGTGCTGGCTTACAGTAGCCAGATTTAGAGGGTAGGATTCTGGATTTCCATCCCTTTAGCAGAGGGCCAGTTACTGTGCCGTGAGTGAATAGCTTAGGGAATGAGCTCGTCTAATGTGGGCTCTCAGTGCTGTAAGTTTCCCTCCAAGCAGCTTCCCAGAGATTGGTCATTTCATTTCAGCTTGGAATATTTTGTATTTTTTTTCCTTTGACACTGGAGTTATTTAGAAGTTGATTTAGTTTCTGAATTTGGGGGAGATTTTCCCATGCTAATTCTGTTGTTACCCAAATTGACGTTCTTGTGGTCAGAGAACATACTTTGCATGACTTCTAGAGATTTATGGAATATGACCCATCCTGGTAAACGTTTGACTCATACTTGAAATCAAGTATGTGCACTGCTGATGTTGGGCAAAATGCTGTAGTAATTAGTTAATAACGTTAAGGATTCATTTTCTTTGATTTGTTCTTCCTATTTGTGCTGACTTTCCAGTTACAATTTTGTGCTGTTACTAGGTAAATACAACTTTATGTCCTCTTAAGAGGCTGACCCCTTTATCTTTAGAAAGTGACCTTCTCCTAGTAAAATGCTTAGTTTTGAAATGTTCTATTGGATACTAAGGCCACTACAGTTGCTTCTGATTACTGTTATTAGCATGATACATCTTTTGCATATCTGTATTTTTAACTTGTCTTTTGAGGATAGCATATTGTGGGGTCTTGATTTTTCCAGTCATTCTGAAAGCCTGTCTTTTGTCAATGCTTAGATCAATTAGGTTTAATGTAATTATCGATGGGATTAGGTTCAACTGTATCATCTTGCTGTTCCGTGTGTTCTTTATCCTTTCCTTTCCGCTGCCTTTTGGACCACGTGAGTACTGGTTCTCATTAATCTTGGTTAGCATATGAGCTGTAACTGTTTTTGTGGTCTGTTTTCTGTTTGGGTATGGAGGCTGAATCCGGGGCTTCTGCACTGAACTGTATTTCTAGTCCCTTTTGAGACAGGGTCTCAACTAAGTTACTCAGGCTGGGCTCAAATCTTACTGAACTAAAGAGGCTTGTTCTCTGAGAAATAGGGAAAGGAATCTGGGTGCTTTACTTCCTCTGTTGTTTTTTTAAATGAAGATAGGAGTCACCCAGGCAGTGGATCGCCTTTTTCCTGTACCTGTCCTCGGCATTTGCCCAGTACTCTGTGAGCCTCCTGCCTCAACCTCCCAGAATGCTGGTGTCACGGGCGTGTACCACCATCCCCAGCTAATAATACACCTCTTTATACTGTGCAACAAGTGTTATACTACTTCCAAGTACGGTGTGAGACCCTGTCATTGGTATACTTCCTTTTTTCCTCTTCCAGTCTTTGTGCTGTGTGGTACATCATATTATAAACTGCATGTCTCTTTTTTCCTTTGAACTATTACAACCTATGGTGTGTACACATCTGCCCGTTCTGGACACTTCCTGTTACAACGCATGGCTTTAGTGCCTGGCTTTCATGTTTTCAAGGTTTACCACATGCACTAATGTAGCACTCCTTTTAATCGCCAACCAATTCCCATTGAGTGGATATGCCACGTTTTATTCACTAACTGATGGGCATTTGGGATGATTTCACTTCTTAGTTACGATGATGCTAGGAAAAGCTCAAGGACTGGTCTTTATGTAGCCATGCTTTTCTCTCGGATGCGCAAGGACTGAATGTCTGGGTCTTACAGTGTACCTTCTCTGCCGGAGGTGCTGGAATGGAACACCAATCTAGGGAGCTTACACGCAGATGTAGTTCGAACGGCTCTGAAGGCTGGCGGTCCAAGACGAAGGGCGTGACGAAGCAGCTTTCATTGTGGAGCGTTTCCTCTTGGCTTGGCACTGGCCTCCCTCTTGTGCTCACAGAGGAGGAGAGCTGGAGTTCTCTGGTGTCTCTTAACAGGACACTGATCCTCTTGGGTGAGGGCCTACCCTTAGGGCTCCATTTACCTCTGGCTACCTGCTCGAGGCCCCATCTGCAGATTAGCAGCCATACCAGAAGCCCTCTCTTCTTAAAAAAAAAAGAAAAAGTGTGCCTTTCACACATCCACCACAGCCACGCTGTTTTTGATGAGGAACGTCTTTTTGGATCAGGCCACCAGCTGAAGAACTTTTGGCTCAATGCTCACTTCATTTGTTCCTGACCCTCCTGTTTTCTTCGTTCGCTTTTTCTTCCTTCTAGATCCTGTTCGCTTGTTCTTTCATAGACAACTCTCGCAGTAACTTCTGTAGCTTTTCTTATACTTGTTGAGCTCTTTAAACAACCTTAATGTTGTCTCTAGATGTTTTTGGTTGAATTTTATGAGCTACATCATCATATGTAACAGTCTGCGGACGTAAAGGACTTTGTAATTATTGTCCCGAGCATGCTTCAACACTTCTGTTGTCATCTCCGCGAGTCTGTCAACAAGTTTTTCAGGTACTTTACTGCTTAGAATGTCCTGTGGATTCAAGCCAGTGTTTACATCCCTGTCAAATCAGATTGTGTTCTTACCTTGGAATGTGAGGGGTGAGCTCAGAAGTCATTCTTCTTAGCCTCTTTTAAAAAGCTGTGTTCTGTATTTTCCTTCTATATAATAGTTACCAGTATTATACTTAGCATCACAGTTCTCTTTTAGGACTATTCTTAGAATAGTACACACTATAATTTAGAAGATAAAAGGTTACATAGAATGACACAAATTATTTTCATTAGCATTTTAATGTATTTCCTTTTTATATTTATTTACATTCAGGGATGACGTTGAGAACGTTTAAAAACTCACATTGCGTAGGCTCCAGGCAGGGAGAACAACAGTACCTGTGGTGCTGGAGGAGCGCCCTGCTGTTCGGGTGTAAGACTCCCGAAGATGGACTGTGGAGAGGCTTCTTGTATGATTTTACCGTTTTTTACAGACAGCAGCAATGTATGATGGCACAAACGGAGTCAGTTGGGACACCTGTCCTTTTGTCATTGGGTCTTGGTGTTTTTATTATCAGCATAATAATACAGTAAACCTCCAAGTATAGAAACTTTTTTTTTAAGATATGTACAAGCAGTGTAAAAACGTTCTGATGAAGGATCACCACTGAAACATGACACTGGTATAGTCACAGATCCAGAAATAGGATTTTCTAACTTAAGCGACAGTACAAAACCATTTTCTAAAAAGATGACTTTGGTATACCAACAGCAGAGCTAACACATCATAACCTTAAAATCAAGCCCTACCTGGGACACTACAATGATTCCAAATCCAGTAGCTAGATGTGTTAGTCCCCTTAAGCCCTTTAGGAATGATGGTAGGATCAGGTATAAACCGTAACGGAACAGCGGCCTTTCAGAGGGAGGGCTGGCCTGTGTGTGGGCACGTCTTTTCCCCGGGCCTGTCTCTCCTCAGTGCAGTGGGAGCTGGACCACAGGCTCTGCGGCCCAGTAAAATGCAGTGATTAGCTTCATCCTCTTACCAGTGGAAAGCAGGTGCTTACAGTGTAACAGATCCAGCAGTAGACGAGCAGCTCTCATCAAATTCATGGCATTACATTTTCTTCTAGGTTAAGTGTTGTTAAAAGTGGAAAGATGCTTCTCACCGATTCCTTGCCTTTGCGTTTATGAGGACTTTCCTCACCAACTCAGGACACCTCATTGTTCACACTTGGGTTTTACTGTGTGCTGATGCAGCATGCTTAATATGCAGGAAAATCAACTATGTTGACTTAGTTCTTGACATTTAATGTGGCTTATTCAGTATTTTGATTAAAGGTGATTTATCCTGTGTGTATTCCAAGTACCTGTCATAGCCTGTGTACAAAGTATCAATAAAATATACACAAAGAGAAAACTTTAGGAAAAAAAGTAACATCTTTTTATTTAATCATCCAATTTAGCCAGCACCTCCTATTTGGAGAGCACACAGGGTTTAGAAACCTTTAATGAGCAGAACGGAAATTACGTGGTTCTCCAGAAACACTCTGGGATAAGATATAAAAAGCTTTTAAGTTTTTCACTGATTTATATTCTCAACTAATAGTGTGGCATTCTAAAAATGCCACAAGGATGGAGGTTAGATTGTTCAGCCTATCCTAAGAATGAAAGGACTTTTAATTTCTCTTTTAAGAGTGGCTTTCCTGCCTGTTATCAAGGCGTGTGCCTGTAGTCCTAGCACTCAGGAGGCTGAGGCAGGAGGATCACCACAGGTCTGAGGCTACATAGTGAGCACAAGGCCTGAACTCTACATGATAAGACCTTATCTCAAAAAACCCAAAAAACAAAAAGGGTGGCCTCTCTATACAATTCCAAGAATCAAAAATGTAGGTGAACACTACAAATTAAAATGACTTCCTTGGCCTTGTTTCCAATAAAGCTGTTTTGTTTGTCCCACAGAGGAGGAAGATGACCTGTTTGATGACCCACTGCCAGTACCCTTAAGGCACAAGCTGCCATACCAGCTAACTCTGCATCCAGAGGCTGTCTTGCTGACTGCAGTACCACAAAACCAGCCTGAAAAACTGGGACAAAGCACAGGATGCTGTGAAGGGGAAAGTGTGCAAAGCTCTCTTTTAACCAACTTCATAGACTGTGAAGAATCTAACAGTGAGAGTGAAGAAGAATCAGATACCTCAGCTTCACGGCAGGATCTGGACCCTGTAATGCTTCCTCAGCAAAAGGCTGATGCAGATGTACCCCAGTGGAAAGTGTTCTTCAAAAGAAACGACAGTGTCTCAGAAGAGGGTTTGGAAAACTTCCCTTCCTCCACAGAGACCGGGGGATCTCAGTCACCCAAGCTTTTCAGTGACTCTGATGGAGAATCAACCCACATCTCCTCCCAGAATTCTTCTCAGTCAACACACATCACGGAACAAGGAAGCCAAGGCTGGGACAGCCAGGCTGACACTGTTTTGCTATCATCACAAGACAGAAATGGGGATACTGCCTTTTTGAACAAAGATGCCCACAGACCAAAAGTCAAGGACAGTATCCCTGCCTCTCAGATGGAACAAAATGTACTTTGCCCAAAGGATACTTCCAGTGATGTGAAGAGCAGTGATGAAGACATAACTATAGCTGCTAATATCGGGACACACATACCTGAGGAAAAAACACTGCCAAGTCATAGCACACACACAGATTCACAGAGCTCCTCTGATTTTGAAATTCCCTCAACTCCAGAAGCTGAGCTACCTAAACAAGAGCATTTACAATACTTATATGAGAAACTGGCAACAGGTGAGAGTATAGTAGTTGAAAAAAGAAAATGCTCATTCTTGGATATTTAAGAACTAAAACACCCTGTTCTAGAGCAACCATTAAAAAGCTTTTACAGGAAATTAAGTCTTTCAGTAGGTCAGGAACAGTAGAATAAAAAACGTTCCAATTGGCCAGGCACAGTGGCACATACCTGTAATGCCAGCACAGAGGGAAGCTAACACAAAAAAATTGAAAGTCCTAGTCCTGCTTGAGCAGCTTAATCAGCCTGTCTCAAAAAGTGCAGGGATATAGCTCAGTGCAAAGGTCATGGGTTCAATCCTCAGGACTAAACAACCCAAAAACTAAAGGCAGGCAATAGAGTAAATGGGGGAACAAAACAGCACATGTGCAGGAGAAGTAAATCTAAACATCTCAGTAACTACATTAAATGTAAATGGTCTAAGCACATACCAAGGCAAAGACTACTCAGGGTTAAAAAAACAAAAGATTACATGCTGTCCACAAGAAACTGAACTCAAATGCTATCTATAGATAAAAGAATGGGGACAAGACACATGTAAACATTAACTAAAAGAAAGCTAAAGTGGCTATATTAGTATCAGACCATTTCCTAAAGATAAAAGGTGCAGGTTAACTGAGAAGACATAATCCTAAATGTCTGCATTTAACAGTTTCAAAATACATAATGCAAAAACAAACTAATGCACAATTTTAGAGGTTTTAACATCCTTTTCTTAGTAAGAGAACTAGTAATATATACAGAAAATCACTAGGAATATCACCACCTAACTGGATCTGACTGATGTAAGACACACCACCTAACAAGCAGTAGAATACATCTCAAGTACACGTGAGCATCTACCAAAGTCAGATTATCGTACACACACTTAAATTAGAATAAACTTGGACCTATTGCAATAAACTGATGGCTTTAGGGAATAATAGCACCACATCCCAAAAGCTGTTGCATCACTTAAAAGCCAGGGTATGAATACAATGGTAAAATTATAACCACACAAATCACAATGTAAAAAGAAAATGCTTAAGAATTAAATGGCTAAAGTATAGTGTGTAGTGTGTTCTGTGAGTCATCTTTAGAGTCCACAAATGATTTTGAGGATTTAATAAAATTTCATAAATATATAAATACTTTGGTACACTGACATTTTACAAATCACAAAAAAAGGCAAAAGCATCCCTTAAAATAAGCTGTGGAATCTCTCAAGTTGGAATCCCAATCTGCAGGTTAAAACAATGACATGCACCATCACCGTGATGCATGGTAATTAGACCAAAAAATACTGGACTCACTGGACTAGGGTAACAAGAGTCGGTCGTAGTACATGTTACTAGCACATACATTTGTGTACATTCACTAATACTTCAGACTTAGTTTTATTTTTTTGGAGACAGGATGTTGCTCAAGCTGGCCTCGAACTCTTGGCGATCCTCCTGCTTCAGCCTCCCAAGTATCGGGATTATAGGTATACACCGCCATACTTGGCAAGACTTAGTTTTAATAGTATACCTTATAGCCCAAGGTAGGTATTTTAAAAATGCTTGTAAACATTCTTCTGGTGAATGTACTCCCAGCATTTTGTAATTATACCATCATTTTCACTGTTTATGTGTGGACCTGGCCAATTCTGGGTAAATGAATTCAAGGGCAAAGAACAGAACACAAGACTATAATCAACTTTCTTGTGCTGGTTATCAGATTTTAATGCAGAGGTGGAGGGCAGAGTAATAACGGGTATTTATATATATATATCAATCCCCCTTTGAGGTAGACAGGAGACTAAGGCACACAGGTCAGTTGATATAACTAGCAAGGGATAAGTCCAGGGGAAGTCAGACACAAGCAACTTGACTTCCAAGTCTATGCTCTTTAGCACAATGCTGGGATGCCGCTCAAAAACAGCATAATAACGAGCAGTATTAATTGTAGTGGCAATCTGATTTTACTTCAGTCAATCAGACAAAAGTCAAGACACAAGTGTTTCTAAACGCCAGGTTATGTAAGAAACCTGGTGGGTAGCCAGGTTTGCCTTACAGAAAAGTATCAAAATGTAAATGTTTAAGTATAAATTTGATTTTTAAAAAGTCTCCCTGAAGTTGAAGATGAAATACTTTAAAAAATAGGTACAGTTTGTGGCTTAGCATAGCTGATCATTTTGGGTATGTTAACATTCCCTCACCAGCCTAAGCCTGCTCTCTAGGGATACAATACAGGACCGCAGCACCAGCCTTAGAACTTCATGAGAAACACACAAGTGTAGATAAAGGACCTGAGCCATGCTCAACAAATAGGAGCTTTGAATTCCAAAATTCCTTTGTGTTTCCACGCAGACCCTACCATGGTATACTTCAGTACGGGATAAGTACTAATGTCCAGAAAATTTCAGTACAGGGTCTAGCCTGTTGAACTGTACTTTTAATATTCAAATGAATGGACCTTGAAAAGGAAAATACCATTTAAAGGACTTACATAAAAGCCTTTGGCTAATCTTGTCACTGCTCAGGAATAGAGTAGTATCTTTAGCCTTTTAGAAATCTTGGCAAAATATTCAAAAGCAAACAAAGCTAAGTCATGTCAAATGGAACATCAAATGCCAGCTTCAATTTGTTTTGCTTGAGGAGATGCTATTGAGCTCAAAGAAGTAAGTACAGTTTAAATTCTGCATATGTGGTCAGGCATATGGCATCTGTGTATAATCCCAGTAGGGATTTAGTAGGCTGAGGCAAGAGGATCACTATGAGTTTGAGGCCAGCCTGGGCTACACAGTGTAATGCTACCTCAAAAACCGAAACAAAATAAAATTTGTATATACAAGGAAAATTTTGACAGTTCTAACTGTGTACCACAATCCCACACAGATCCTGGAAATGATGGCATTACAACTTGCATAGTAGATTTGCAACTGTTTTTTACTAGAAACCGAACTCAGGACCTTACACTTGCCAGGCAGGCGCTGTGCTGCTGAGCTATCTCCCGATCCTAGATTTGCATTTTAAACTTGCTGTTACTGCTGCCTTTGAAAATTTTTATCTTGAGAACAAATTCTGTTATCTTTTGCAAATGCGAGTGAAGAAACTCAAGTGCTGACTTCCAAACAGTTACGTTCCAAAGGGCTTCCTTTAAATAGTTTCTATTACTTTACTGTGTAAGTTAAGCTTCATATTTATTAAGAAATGTTATGCAAGTATGTGTTTAAAATTTCAAAGGCTATGAAATCTCTCAGGACAAAGCAGAACTACAGGTTTACTAAAAACAGTCTTTTCCCCTCTGCCTCCAGTTTTAAATTTCAAAAAACTGAGATAGTAGACAAAATCAAATAACTAGATAGAACAGTGATTTTAAAAAGTCTGTCATAACCTGTAAGAATGGTAACTGGAGTAAGCTTGGCCACGTGGGGGCGACCTGTCACTCTCTGTGTTCTCACCACCAACACTGTGGACGTTCACTTTTCATAAAGAAATGCCATTAAAAAATAATTTTTTTCTTGACACATCCTGTGATTTTTGGTTAGCAGACACAAGGCCCAAAACATACAGTTTATCCTGTATTTTAAAAGCACAAAGTCACGTGGCAGCAACATCATAAAGCACAGCTTCCCTGAAAGACAGGTCGAGAATTAAGGTATCTGAAGTGCTGCAGCCCCCAGTTTAGCTCAGTTTTACCCACTCACACCTAGAGCAGCAGGCGTCGGAAGAACTCGGTGAGGGGCGCCGAAGGCTAACCTGCTGCACTAACCTTCACGCTGGACACCACGAGAAGTCCCAGCATCGGAGACAGAAAGTTTTCCTGATTGAGGTTTTACTACAAAAGTGGAAAAAATTTCCATGTCACTCTTTATACAGTAGGTCAGCTAATAAAAGGTCTCAATTCACGCACACACTTTGGCCAACGTTAGCTTTACCACATCTAGAAATTCATGTATAAAACAAGTTATCAGTTCAAATATAAATTACTTTTTAAGAACCACCTGCAGGAAATACAAAAATAGTTTGGTGGAAAGGAAACCTTAGAACTGCTTGAAATGAGAGGACGGTGTTAGTGAGTGAGACGTTACTTGGTACAGCTGCTCCCGGGGAGCTGGGGTCAGTGTCAATCAGAGGCGCTCAGCGTGAGTCCCCTAACCCAGGCACCGCGCTGCCCTCAGAGCGCTTCCCTTCCTCACAGGTGCTCCCGAGCCCTCCCGGCCCCACTGTCCTATCCTGTTAGAGCATAATGGCCAGCCCTTCTGGACTTCTCTGGACCTTTGGAGATTTTTCTTCTGTAGAATAAAAAATCTTAAATTACAGGTTTAGACATACAATCTTCATAATGATTTAGATTCTTTCAAAATAGGAAATCAAGCTGAAATATTTTACACTTTAAATTCCTGTATCACGATGACAATGTTTTAATGAAAAAGTAGAAGAAAACGGAGTATAAATTCAGCATCACCTATTCGTCTCAAAAGCAAGAACAGTGAACGTTTAATAAGAATAACAATACAGTAACAAAACCAGAACTTGTGTATTCGTCCAAACTGAATTAACTGTGTCTTTGAAATCAAAGTATATGGCAAGATGAACGTTTCATCTCAGCAACTGTTAGCTTTTCAATGTAACACTTTTCAAGCACAGAAGGGGGCACACTTCTGTGCTCACAGACTTCTTAAGTGTGCGCCTGCTGATCTGGAGATACTGTCTTCCGCATCTGGGATCTAACCACCTAGGTCCATTTCAGATTAGCCTATGTGACCCTGTGTCTTCTTCACAGCAACAGTAATGTATTTGGCAGATGTCTTGGAAGAGGAACTGTAAATTAACATAGTATCATCTTGATAATATGATGAGTCCAATACTTTTAAGTGTTAACATTAGGAAAAACCGAACTACCATGATCTCCAGCTGTATTCTCTAATAGTCAGTTGAGGTAACCTCTACATGTCACCGCACCACATCTGCACACAGTTCTGACCCTCTTTCTGGCAGGGCTGTGGTCAACAGAGTCTGAAGATGTATCTCCAGAACCTGAAGAGATAAGAAAGAAACGGGAGAGAGGTGAAACAACCAGGAATGAATTTTAAATTGCCTGTTATTTTAAAAGTAGCTAGCAAGAGTCTTGCTTGAAACCATTTGAAGTATGTTAACTCCCAAAGAAATGTGAGGCGTTCCCTTTGCACATAGGAATGTGAATACTGGGAGACAATTCACTGCGGTTTGTCTTAAAGGATGGTGTGACTACTACATGCTACTTACATCATCAGTCCGTATTTGTGAGAATGGACTCCAAGGCAATGACATGGTGCTTACTGGGAAAACCCAATACAGAATCATTCTTTTCACACATGACGCACATACAGTGAGGCCAAGCAATCAATATGGAAAGGACCTGACATCATTCTCAGATAAGCAAAAATATTCATATTGTCACAATAACACAAAGAGAATTAAACATTCTTTTTAAAAGTCAGATTCAAGAAGCAATGGAACAAGTTTGTATGTGATGTAAATCATATTTTCAGTTTTGTGAATATATATCTCCATAAAATACTTTGGTGTGTATGTGGTGCTAGGGATAGAAGCTAGGGTATCACATATGTAGGTGAGCATTCTACTGCAATTCTTCCTTAATACAATTAGTGTATTGAGAAAAGACATTAGAATAAATCACTTTCCAAAACGGAAGCCCTAAAAAAAGTCAGGAGGCAAGACCATTCCCTGGCCAAGTGAGGCAGACACAGGTTTTAGCTTTAGCTATCAAATGAGCTTGAAACATTAAATAAGGTCACGAACTCTTACAGCTTCAATTTTTATCAATCTGGTGCAGAGAGTCGTGACCTTTTCCTACTGTGATGTGATTCTTCATATTGAAATGAACACCAATGTAACTATACTTGAAAACCATACCTTTCATTTGGTAATCAAAAGTTAGTTCTTCTCCAGCATATATGGTTCTTGTGGAAAATAATGCTATTCGGGGAAGTCGAGTATCGAGGTTATCGATGAAAACATTGAACACCTGAAGATTTGGGTCACACTAAAAAGAAACATTAGAGCCCACTTAAGTAAAACTGACACTAATGAGCTCCTTTACGTGCCATATAAAACCCTGTAATTTCCCAGAGTACTCTTAAATTTTAGTGGAAATGAAGTTGCACATTATGACATGCACTTTAAGAAATACTGCTTTCACTTTTAAAAACATTTACAGACATGAGAGTAGAGAAAACAATACAATAAATCCACACGTTTCTGCTCTGCAACTTCAACAATCGCTAAAATATGTTTGTCATTTTGTTCGTCTAGTATCTACTTTTTTTCCTGTAGTATTTTAATACAAATCCCGTAACTATCCTGTAACTATTTCAGGAAGGCATAAACTTCAAAGAATTAGAATAATCACATTAAAAATCAAATCAAAGGGCTGGGGATTTAGCTCAGTGGCACAGCACCTGCCTGGCAAGCGCGAGGTCGTGAGTTTGATTCCCGGTACAGGAAAGAAACCAAAGAAAAAAAAAAAAGATCAAATCAATACCATGAAACTCAAATTTTATAAATTTCATAGTGCACGGAGTTTCACTGCTTTAAACTTTCAGAACTGCTCAGTATTTTGAGAACTCTAAATTAGAGAATAGGCAAGAGAAACCTAATAATCATATTAAGAAATCAAAATCAGTGTTTGTTCTTGAAACAATCTATGTATTTTGGGAGCCCAGCTGTGCCTCTGTACCTCTGGGCTGTGCATCCCTGGACTCAGGTAACTGCAGATGCACCCAATCTCAGACTGGGAATACTGGGAGGGAAGAGGTGCTCCTGTGCTAAGTGGTACAGACTCTTGTTGTCTCCTAAACAATGTAACAACTTGTTTTTTAATCTTTTTGAGACAGGGTCTCCTTGTGCAGTCCTGGCTGGCCTTGAGCTCACTTTGTAGCCCAGGCTGGTCTCAAACTTGCAATGATCCTCCTGCCTCAGCCTCTGGAGTGCTGGGATTACAGGCGTGCGCCACCACACCTGGCAACAACGTAACAACTATTTCCACTGCATTTGGTATTATAAGTAACCCACAGAAGATGTAAAGGGAGAACATGTAGATTACATATAAATACTATGCCCTCTTATAAATTTTTATTTTTTGGTTTTTGAGACAGGGTCTTGCCATGTAGTTCAGGCTGGCCTTGAAGTCACTATATAGCCCAGGCTGGTGCCTTAGCCTCATGAGTGCTGGGATTACAGCTGTGTGCCACCACACCTGGTGCTATGCCATGTTATGAAGGGACTTGAGGATCCAAGGATTTGGGGTACCTACAAGAAGTCCTGAACCAATTTCCTGCAATACTGCTGAGGGATGACTAATGGGAGGTACAGAACGCAAATTTATGATTAAGAATTCTTTTAAGCAAAAATTTTAAGAAAATCAGGAAACTAACGAGGGAGTCAGAATTTCTTTCATATTTCATTGCTAATCACAGACCAGTTTTTTGGCACGCAACCCATCAGAAGTTTAACACGATTCCATCCTTATAAAGTCAACAATAGAACTTAGTGTCTGAGAAACGTTTTCCTTATTAGCAATAACATTTGTAAGGTGGTGAGATGTACTATTCACTGCACTAGCCTTACCCACCTGGCACTTAGTAGGTACCCAATAATTATTAACTTGTTTTTTCTTGCAGTGCTGAGAACTGAACCAGTACCTCATACACGCCAGGAAGCACTCCACTACTGAGCTACACACCCCAACACCCTTACTTTGGGAAACAGTTTTTACAGAGTGTAAGATTCTGGAGTTAAGACCATAGTGTTAACTTCTTTCAAACATAAATTAAAACTTTAGGAAAAACATAATGTATGACTTAGAAAATGAGTTCTAAATACTATCAATACTCTATAAATCCTTAAATTTTATAAATATGCTAACATGCTTACATCTAAGAAAATATCTTTATTTGTACAAGACCTCCAGTGGATGTCTGAAGCCACAGATGGTACCAAACCCAACATATACTAGGTTTTTTCCTACACATGTACACTTATGGTAAGTTTGATTTACAAATCAGGCACAGTAAGAGATTAACAATAACTGAAAATTGATACAACAATTGTTATAATTATCACAACTGCACAATTATAAAGTAATTGTAATAGAAGTTACATAAATGTTCTCTTTCAAAAGATACTTTTACCTTTTCATTTAAAGGAAGCACTTTGTGTGTTCTCCCTGCCGTATCTGAACGGTCAGCATCAGTATTTTTGTGCTTTGGGTGATTATTAAGTAAAATAAGAGACCCCTGCACAGTGCTGTGGCAACCAACGCCTCATCTGCTGAATGACAGCTGCGTAACGGCCAGCGCGCAGGTCGCACACACACCATGACTGCGCTGGACGCAGCGGTTCATGTCCTGATCAGAGTGAAGTAGGACAATGAGATTTTACCATGTTAATGAGAATTCCTTGCAATTTAAAACTTTTGAATTCCTTTTTTGGAATTTTACATTGTGTATTTTTGGACTATAGTTACTGGTAAACTGTGTAGAAAGGGAAAAATGTGGATAAGGGGAAATTACTGTACATTCTGAAATTTAGTTACATTAACTTCTGTAAGACACTCAGAGTTGCATGTGATCCTTAAACATTTTCTTTTTAACTCCTCCGCTTATTATTTTCTCCTGGGATAGGATGGTATTTTGCTTACCTTGAAAAGTTACTGCCAAGTTTAAATGAAGTAACGTGTATGGATTCTTGCAAAACACCCACATTTGGTGAGCACGTGACTGGCTGTCTTCCTAACACAGCGATAATACAATGACTTAACAGAAAAGGCCCACATACTGAAACACTTGGGAAAGGTCTACAGTTCAAAGATAATTCTCTTCAGCATATAGAAGCATTAGAACTACTAGCTTGAATTATCTGTCTTATCTACAACTTAAGTATCTCCTCTTACACTGTGATTCACAAAGTGTGACACATTTCCGTATCGAGCCGCGTCCACCGTGAACTCATCAGATTCATAGTCCAGATCGAAGAGATACGTGATCCCCTTGTTGTCGTACAGCTGCCCCCGTCTTTCAGCTTCTTCACTCGTGATTACCTACAGAGAAACAGAACTATTAAGACAGCTGCTGCAGAACAGAAGGAACATTCATCCATAAATATAAATGGCAGTAAAAGACATACTGCCATTAATCCCCGCAAAATACAGCCCCACCCTGCCCCCAGCTCTACACACACTTAGCATCGCTTTTGCCACTTTTGGAAGTAGTTCTGGAAGTCCTCTTTCTTGTCTTTTTTTTTCTTTTCGTTTGCTTTTCTGAGACAGGGTCTCACAGTGTAGTCCAGACTAGCCCTGAACTCATTATGCAGCCTAGGCTGGCTTGGACTCATGGGAATCCTCAGCCTCCCAGGCAGGTGCTGGGATCACAGGTGTGCGCCACCATGCCTGGCTTTTGTGTATTTGTGAGGTGTTATCAAAACAGTACAGTGAACGCTGCTGCCCAGTGGTATCCAATGGGAAGGCAGTCGCGTAAAAAACCTCATCTACCTTATTCATGGGATCTGGCACCATCCACACTTCTGGCTCTTCCTTAAAATCAAAGTGACCAGGAAAGGTAAACATTTTGAACTGATTCAGGACATTGAGGCAACCACAAAAGTGTAACTAAGGAGGCTCAGAAAAGAGGACTCCAGAGCTGCTTTGGATATTGGCAAGGAGAATAGGCTCAGTTTGAAACAAGGGGGAGGGTTCTGAGGGGGATTAATGGCAATGTGTCCTTTAGTGTAGTAAGTTCTTTTACTTAAACCATCACTGTGTTTTTAATCACACCCTGTATTAAAAAATGTATTAATTCCTACGTATTTTCAAAAGAAATTGAAGTGCTAGCAAAACCAACACATAAGAGCTAGATGGAAAGAGGTAGGAAAAATGAGGGGAAGAAAAATGACGGTACCAAAGAATAACTTTTTATATAAAATTTGACACAAAAAATTGAAACACCGTACTATTTTCATTATAATTAGCTGTTCAAAAGGTTATACATGTCAGGTGTGGCAGTGCATGCCTGTAATCCTGTCACACAGGAGACAGAGGCAGGAGGACAGCCGTGAGTTTGAGGCCAGCCTGGACTACACATTGAGACCCTGTCTCAAAAATAAAAGCTATACAGCTATAGGTCTGGACATAAGTGAATGCAAAGGACTACAATTTACAAAACAGGAGAAAAGGTCAAGTGAAATTTGCTGTCAACTTTAAGGAAATTTTGTTTTGCAAAACAGGTACTTATAAAATTCTGAAGTTCAAAACAACCAAACCAAATGAAACACCAAACCAAACCAAACCATCACCTGCGGGCTAGGATGTAACGGTGGCTAAGTGCTTGCCAGGCACGTACAAGGTCTGGATGTGATGCCCAGTATCACTGGCTGGGAGAAGGAGGCAGGAGACAAGGTATGAGCATTACTCACAGTTCTACTCTTAAAACAGCTTTAGCAAAGATTAGCTCAGGAAACCAAAAATGTCTAAAGGGACCTATGCTATCCTCATTTCAGTAAGCCAAAAGAAGAATGGGACTGAGTAAGACCAAGTTTTCTTTTTTCTTTTGGGATGCAGTCTCTGTATTATTCAGGCCAGTCTCAAACTCTTGACCCTCCTTCTCTCGGTCTTCTGAGCAATGGGATCCCGTATGTACCTTCACGCTGCTAAAATCTAGTTCCTGAATGGTGATTTACAATACTCTGCCATTGTCTAAAAATATACGAATCAGAACAGAGATCTCACTTAATTTCAGATTCCAAGTACTGTAAAGCAATTCCTAGTAACTTAAACCCGTCAGATCTGACAGTCACACTCCTGTCTCTCCAGACACAGCACAGCTGGAGGCTGGTACAGTGGAAAGGGTGCATATTCTGGAGTTCTGAATCCTGACTCTTCTTTCTACCGCTATGCATCTGTGTGACTCCAAGTTCCTCAGTTTTTCTGTACTTCAGTTTCTTCATTTATAATAATTGGGTTAACATCATTTCAGTTACTGAGAGTATTAGTGAGTTAACACAACAAACTGCTTAGAACAGTATCTGGCACATGGTAAATACTTTTATGTTTATACGTGATATGTATCAAAATAAATGGTTTCTCAGTATTTGATAATTTAGAGAATGGTCTGCAGTTCAGAGTGGCTGAGCTACAGAGTTTGATTTTCTTATGATTGCAACAAATGCTTTTGTGTGTATTCTACAGTACATAAAGCATCCATCTATAATATTTTACATGTTGACAGAAAATAAACTTTTACTAAACTTAACTGTATTTGTACAACAAAGGAAGTGAGCTACCACCTCCAAGTTTTGAAGTCTGCAAGTGTTTTGATCTGATTTTCTTCTTAGAACTTCTTTATAAAAATGATCGACAAAAACAAAATGAAAGCCAGGTGTGGTGGTGCATGCCTGTGATCTTAGCACTCTGGAGGCTTAGACAGGAGAACTTCCATGAGTTTGAGGCCAGCCTGAGCTACATAGTGAATTCAAGGCCAGCCTGGACTACACAGCAAGACCCTGTCTCAAAAAAAGAAAAAGAAAAAGACTGTTGTATTTAAAATTGATACATGCTATGTTCAGTAACTACTAATGGGTATCTGTTGAAAAAAGATTATCAGTTTGTTAATATACATATTTTTTGTTTATACAATGTTTACATTTCTAACTATGCCAGTGAAATCTACTCCTACACCTGAAAATAAATCCCCTCCCCCCCGGTATGGGAATCGAGCTCACGACCTTGCGCTTGCCAGGCAGGCACTGTGCCGCTAAGCTAAATCCCCAGCCCTGAAAATAAATTTCTATAATCTGCAAATGATAATATAAAAACATACCAAGTATTTATGTTACTGAGATTAAAAAGGTAACTTTTCAAAAATATAAACTTTATATATTATATATGTGCCAGGTGTAGTGCAGCACATACCTGTCATTCCAGAACTCAGGAGACTGAGGCAGAGGATTGCAGTGAGTTTGAGGCCAGCCGGGGCTGCACAGTAAGTTCAAGGCCAGCCTGAACTACATAGCAAGACCCTGTCTCAAAAAACCAAAGACAACAATAACAACAAAAAAACCCTTACATGCACATTATCTGCTATGTGATAAACTGAACGTACCTCTCCAACATATTCCATGACAAAACTCATTCTTTTAATCTTCACAAGGGTCTTTACACCCCAGCCACAGCCATTGCTAGTTCGAAAGATGCAAAGTGAATACTGTGTGCCTTTCTGTACGATCCTATTGGGACAATCCGGTCCACACTGGCATCTTGAATTGCATTCATAGATGGGAGTACCGGGTGGGATTTTAATTTGTTGGTTCTTATTATAAGCCAACACAACTCCAGCTTCAGTAGGACAACATTTCTCAAAGAAGCAATCTGTGCACGAACAACCAAAGGTCACTTCATTGACCAGGCTGATTCCAGGAGCTGGTTTGTATTCATTTATGTAGTAGAAGTCTGTAGGTGGGCCCTCTAAATCAACAGTATTTTCAACAAATATCATTCCTTTATGATTCTTTCTTCTGTTGAGTTCATCTTGCCACTTCTGCAGAGCTATCCTTTGTTTGGCTTTCTTTACAATGTATCGAGCAATAGCAGGTTTCAAAGTTTTGTTATTGTCTTTTGGAATTATTGCTTTGCCTTTCTTTACCTGAGATAAATAATTATGTTTGTCATTAAGGAATTGCTGAAGTAGTAATGGACACTTGAGATTTTGCAAAGGTTCCCAAGTATTTGTAGAATTTGGCCATCCTTTCCATTTTACAAGATAATATTCCATATCCTTAAAATACAAAAGAAAATGAAAATCAGATTATAATAGTCCCAATTAAATGAGTATTTTAAAATATAAGGTACCTGTTCATCATTTTTTTTTAACATGTAGAATGACAAGTTTTAACAGATGAGGTGCAAGTCATACAAATGTCCTAAAAGTATTTGTCTGGGACCCAAGTTGGTGTTTTACTTGGCCGGCATTCTAAGGCCCACAATTGAATACTGTCCGCTGGACACAAGGGAACCTACACTTCTTAGTGTCATGGGCACATATCCCCTCGCTATTCTGCTGGTGCACTGTCCCATACAGTCACTGTAGCCACACGAGAAACTGAGATGTAGCCAGTCACATGCTTTAAGTATAATGCACACTAAAGACTCAGTACAAAGAAAGTAAAATACCCCTAAAATTTTGTTTGTTTATTTTTTGAGACAGGGTCTCCTATATAGTTCATGCTAGCTTTGAATTCACTATGTAGCCCAAGCTGGCCTCGACTTTTCAGCAATCCTCCTGCCTCAGCCTCCCAAGTGCTGGGATTACAGGCAAGCACCACCATGCTCAGCTTCATTTTCTTTTTTTTCTGAGTGTGGTACTGGGGACTGAACTCAGGCAACTGTCACGTGCAAGGTAAGCACTATTTTACTGAGCTCCGTATGTCCTCACTTCAGTTTCTAACTTTTAAAAAATACCAATTAAATGTTGACATATTTTCACAGACTGGATTAAATAATTTCACCTGTTTCATTTTACTTTAATGCAGTTACTAGGAAAATTGTAAATCACATCTGTGGTTCACTTATGCTTCCATGGACAGCGGTGTAGTGGAGAATGCTAATCTTATTTAGACTCAGCCATGACTGGGGTAGGTAGCAGCAGGCAACTCAAGCCACCAAAAAGCAAGTATTTTATCACTCAGACTGCTGCTGGCCATCAGCAGCCTGGAATCTTGTCTTTACCCTACTGACACGACTATCTTCTTTCCTTAAAGTCAAGCAATGCCTTAGTCACTGAGTTTCTCTTAAACAGGCAGTGAGGGCTGGTCATGGTGGCGCATGCCTGTAATTCCAGCACTCTGGGAGGCTGAAACAGGAGGACTGCAAATTCACGACCAGCTTGGGCAAGTCAGCGACTCAGCGAGACCATGTCTACAGGACAAAATGAAACAGTGGGCCAGGGATGTAGCTCAGTGCAAAGGCTTTGGGTCCAATCCTCAGCACTGCAAAACAAACACCAAAAAACCAGCAGTTAGGTGTAATAAACAAAATTCTTTCATTCATTCTCTAGAGTATGTTAACACATATCCACATGCCCTAGGGTAAAATAAGCTCATAAAACACTTCTGAAATGTAAAAGTGATTAAACTCCACTTGACCAATTTGAATTATCATTTTAACTTATGAATACTGAAAAAAATTAGAGACAAAAAATGCTTTTCTCTGACAACTTTAATGATTTTATATAAAGTAAGGATGTACAGGACAGTTGCTCTAACATCCATTTTTTTCTTGGTGCTGAGGCTGAACTCAAGGCCTCAGCATGCTAATACTTTAATCGTTTCTTAATGATGACTGACCTGAAAGGTGCAGTCACGAAGTTTTGGCATATTGCTGAGGCATGAACTGGGCCAAAGATACTGGGACAATCCATGATGAGTTTACTTTATCCCCACTGCCTGCACCTCTGTATTTAGGATTTTTTCTTTCTTTTGTTTTTCAGTACTGGGGGATCCAACCCAGGGCCTCATGAATGCTAGGCAAGTGCTTTACCACTAAGCTACATGCCAGCCCAAGTCTGTATATGCAACTTAATATATTATTCTACTCAACAATTAAAAGAACTTTGCTTCTTTTTCGAAAACTGGTCAAAGTATTTTTTTCTATTACAAATGTTTTAAATTGCTGGGTGTGATGGTACACATCCCTATAATACCAGCTACTTCTAAGGCTGAGGCATGAGGACTGCAATTTTGAGGCCAGCCTGGGAAAATTAATGAGCTTCTTTCTCAAAAAAAAAAAAAAAAAAAAAATCAATGAGAAAAAGGGTGTGCAGCTCACTGCAGCTGCCTAGGATGCAGGAGGCCTTGGGTTCAATCCCTACTACAAACAAACAAACACTAGGGCGGGGACAAGCTGAGCCCTGCAGAGCCTGCCTCCAAGCCTCGCAAGGTCAGGAATTCGATTCCCAGTACCAAAACCCAAAACCAAAAACACAAACACTTATGGTCTGAGAATATGCACAAAAACTTATTTCCATGAAATACATATTGTACCCCCACAAAAGCCTAGATGTCCACTGATACGTGTATAAACTAAGCACTAAGGTCAAAAGATTTCTTCCTCCTCAGGAAGTCTGGAACTGTTGTTAGCAGGTACCTGTCTAAAGCAGATATGAGATCTGCCTGGCAGTATTCCCCATTGCTAGGTCCCTCAATTCTAACTCCTGACGCCATGATAAAGCAATGCAACCTGTCCTTTCCCCCTGCGACAGTGACTGCTTCCTACCATGGGCCTGGATTATGCCAAACGTTGTCAGAGAACAAAGAAACAGAAACACCGGCTTTAAGTTAAATGATTAAATTATGACCAGCACAACTACAAACTGGCATCTGTCACTGAGTTTAATTCAAAACAATTTATTGTGCTGTTTAATTTCAGATGATTCAACTGTATTTTAAGTGGCTAGGTTTTATATGTTAATCACATTGGTACCTCCTTAATTCACTGATAGTAACTATGGTTGGGAAAAAAATGAATGTCTTTGGCAAAATGTATACAAATATCAGCAATATTTTATTTCTGGTTTATAGACTTGTCTTTCATAATATTTTATTTAAAATCCAAAAATATTTTTCTATTTTAAAAGCATGTTTACACAATCACTGACTTATGAAATAAATTTAATTCAATAAACCTAAAATTTCACCTGGGTGTGATGGCCAATGCCTGTAATCCCAGCACTCAGGTGAGGTAAGAGAACTGCCACAAGTTCAAGGGCAGCCTGGACTACATCATGAGTTCAAGGCCAGCTGGAACTACATTTCTAATGCAAGACCCTTCCTCATACAAACAAACAAACAAAACAATCCCCCCAAACCAAAAATTCCTAAAATTTCCAAACAAAGTTAAAAAGCTCACAGACTTAGATATCACAATCTTCTTCTGATATGTAATCAACTCTTGATTACCTACAGAAATGGGAAACAATGGTAAAAGTGGTCTACAAATTACTCCTATGTAATGTGGAATATATTTATATGAATTTCTTCTTAAAAGATATTCTCCCTCACTCTGACATTAAATTCATTAAGCTATTTTAATATCTATATATGTTTGGTCACTGGAAGGTGTGATGAAGGTGTTACAAGCCTTTAGGAATAAAACTCTGGGAAAAGAAGGCAATAACAAAATACACAGCAAGGCAAGGCAATATAATTTTAAATGCTGAAGTAAGACAATCAATACCACTAGAATATAAAGAGGGAACTCAATACAGGTCAGATAATCAGAAAGAAAAGAGAGAAGGCACAACTCTGAATCTGCTGGGAAGGGAAGATGGCAGGCAGGACGAGAAACACAAGCAAAAGCTTAAAGCTAAGATTGCACGAAGTATCCAGAAACAGCTGAATCAAGATAAAATGGTAACGTTAAGGCAAGAGCAAATTCCAGACACCCTTGAACACTTGGCTAGGGTATCTGAACTTGACTGCAGGCCAGTGACTCTTACAATTCTTGGAATCCATGTGTTTCTGGGGCAGCTTCATTAAATAAAATACATTTAACGCTACTCTGCTCACCAGGAATAATTTTACTAATCTTCTAACTGCCAAACCAATGAATTCTTTGATCTTCATCTAATCTGACCTCTGGGTTACAGCACCATTGGCCAACCAGTCCCCGGGCTTCACTACCATGATTTTCTCTTCTTTTCTATTTTTTTGGTACGGGGAATTGAACTCATGACCTCAGGCTTGCCAGGCAAGCACTTATGCCCTTGAACTACATCCCCAGCCCTTCCTTTTCTATTTTCTTTGCCTGGTGCTTCTGCTGTCCTTTAAACAATCAGATACTCAGGACTCTCTCCCCTGCCCCTTTTCATACTAAACAAACATTTATCCCTTTAGAAAATCTGATGCAAGCTATGAACTTTCCCATAATGAAGATCACTTAGGTAATATTTTGAATTATTTCAGAACATTTGGGTTTTAGGTTAAGAATCCTGCTCTAAATGACTCTTTCCGGGCAACCATAGTACTGCAGTGATTCAAACTATATGCAGATGTTTCCCAAAGTTTACCTGCAACCCTACATGCATATCCAGTAGCTTACTTGGTGTCCAACAGGTTCCCAAAGCATCCTACCCACCCTGAAACCACCACTGTCCCTCCCAAGCTTACTTTTTCTGTATGCTTCACCATGTGAGTAGGAAGATGGGTGAGACCAACCTACTCGTACAAGCTAAAGATCTTAACCATTTTCCTACTCACCGAAGCTGAAGACCGAGAAAACAATCGCAATTCCTTCTCCTCAATCTATCCCACCAGGTTTCTTTGGAGATGGGCTTCTTGTCTAATCTGCCCTTCTTGACTAAAGTGTGATTTTTTTATTAAAAAATCCACAGAATCACTTATTTACGGCTTTTTTGCTGAAAATTATTAACCCCTCTACTGTGTATGGAATAAAGGCAAAGTGTGCCATGATAACACAAAAAAGCCATTCTTAAACTGGCCGTTTATGCCTCTGGCTCCGCCTCCTCTCAAAGCCCCACTCCCACTCTGCCCTCCCGCCTCGCTGAACTACCACTAATGCTGGAACACACACTTTTCTTCATACCCTTTTGGTGCATTGTTCTCAAATTTTTCCCTAATTAGAATGGTCTCTTTACTTTGCCCCCTGAACACTTCGTTCCATCTCATTTTTACATGTAAGAGAAAACCTACCTACTCATCGTTTATTTTTTCTACTCACATTTTACATCTCTTTTTTTGGTCTTTTTCAGACAGGGTCTCG